TAGTTTGGAAAAGCTGAATTAAAATGAGATCTAATTTCTAGCGCACAGAACAATTTCAAAACTGCCTGCTAATTTCCACCACCTGTCAGTGTTGTGATCTTCACCTCATTGTAATGAAATAAAACAGCATATATATTTTACAGCTCAGAAAAGAATAATCATTCATAAGTGTTAGGATATGATTAATCACGAAGACACCAGGACCCAGGATGTTTTATGAGATGCACCACAATCAATCAACACCTTCGCTTGCAAAGATCCCCGCTGATGTCAGAGGGATTCCCACAGATCTCTGAGTCTCAACCCATAGAGTCAAAGCAGCCAGATCCTCATAGCTGTGTGCTTGGTTTTTGTTCTGTTTGTTGTGGCTTGCATTTTTCTTTTTTTCTTTTTTTGATAGGTCATGCTTCTGTGTCTGCAGGCAATGCAATCAAATATACATATACCCAAGAAATATCAAACTAACGTAAGTCAACAGAACACAAGTACCCAAGTTATGCATTAGAAGACAAACCCCTGTTCTGTGTTTAGACGATACTTGGTTACATGTGTTTTTTGCTTTCAGCTACTGCAAATAACAGAGCAAGGAAATGATATTTTTCCTCCCCTCTTAACACGTTGTAGTCTAAATTTTAGACCCTCCAGATATTTTTTTTAATCATAATTCAGATCTACCTCACATGTCAAGCCCGTAATTTAAAAGCTTTAAAAACACAAACAGATGCAATCCTAAATGTTAATAAAGTAACATCTTCATGTTCACCACATAAGATGTTCTGTTTGCATCCTCCACACCCCACTTTATTGTCATGCTTCAACTTGTACATGCAAAGACTTCTTGTGAAACAAGAATCCAGAACTTTTATGTAACTTTTCACTCTCACTTGCCCTAGTGTGACAAAGAAATTAGATGCCATATACTGCACTTGACAAAGATGCCAGCTCTCTCTCTTCATTTTTACATGAGGCTGTTACCCAGAAACAAAATGACCTGGATTATAACTCCTGTTTTCTCCTTTCTGCCTCTTCCACTTTTATTTAAAGCTAGAGCAAAGGAAAAGCATGGCTTAGCAGAACACCCTACTGCCAGTGACCTGCACTTCAGGAGGTATCTCTCAAACTACTGCCATCCAGAACATACCAAAAGTACCTGCAGAATACTCTAAACATACTAGGCCTACTGCTGGCTTAGAAAGAGCAGAACACAAAACCATGGATTGCTTTGTGGTGGAGCAAAGGAGTTTACCCAAAGGCATTTTGATTGTTAAGTTTTGAGCTACTTAAAGCAATACCAACAACTGATTTTTCCTATAGAAAGCACAACCTTCTAAGCATAACTGTTCTGACTATGGGCCTAAAAATGGCTCTGCCTATAAAAGCTGAGAACAGAGCTCCAGCAATAACCTTCAGCCAGGCTCTGCCGAAGAGCACAGCTCAGTCTAAAATTCTTGCTGTTACTGATGTCATTTTCACCATGCTACCCTCATCTGACATGTGAACACCTTCCAGCTTTGACCTCTGTGTTTGAAGAATGGCAACAGGAAACTGAAGGGACAAACCTAGCTAAATAGCGCCACATGCTGTACAAAGCACACATGGCAGGTGCACAATTGTGGAACATACAGTTCTTATTCTGCTAGAATGAAAAAACAGTGAACATGACATAACGTACAGTTCTATACCCTAATTCTATAGCCTATGCAATGCCACATTTTAAATGCAATTTCCTTCTCTTTTATAGAACCACTCTCACAATCTACTAAATAATATTTCTATTTTCAATCACTTTTTTTTTTTACCAGCTAAGTACCGTTTATTTCATCATTCACACCAAACCTGAATGCACAAAGGAACTAACAATAAGAACTTTACTTCAATACACATACATATATTAAACTTCTCTCCAGTTCAGAAATGTTATTAATTAACTTAGCTATTAGCTAACAGCTACTTAACTTCTTATGAAATATTTATTAACAAAATGTTTCCAGCAAATTACAGTTTGATTTCCTCTTGACAACTTCACACTGCCAGTAAGAGACAGAGCTCTCCGTGACATCCCGTGCTGTCAGCTGCTAACACAGCCCATCCTCAGGAGGGAGCTGGGAACAGACGTGGTTTGAACTATGCTGGGAAGGTTACAAACCTCCCACTGCCTCCTCACCTCTTGGACTAGCAGTCAGCCTTCTCTGCCACCTTCTCATGCTCAAAGATGCTCAATTCCTGATACTCAGTTGCATCAAACCCCACATGTATTGCACGTGGCACGTGCTTCTTGCTGAGAAACACAGAGTGAGTGCAGATAGGAATATTTCCACCTATAACAGCTCAGAAGAAAACAGAACAGACGAAACTTGACAGAGCTATACAATACCAAAGAACGCAGTGCAGTATTTAACAGGAATGTAATAATATATTTATTCACCCACTGCTCTATTTAATTCAGATGATAGCATTTTGAGGTATTATGTTTGTATTGGAAACACAAAGGTACTTAAAGTATATCACAGTATCACAGAAGAGATTTCCAAGAGTTTCCTATTTTTCCTTAGACAGTCAGCCCTGGTGGACTGTTTGCTAAGAATGCACTTATCTACTGAGCCCAAAGTTCTTCTACAATGGGCTTGTTTTTACAGTATGCACAGATATAAAAACGAGTCAATTAATGAATAAAATTAATATATTTATACGACATGCTCCACAATTTTGTTCAACTATTCTGCCTTCTGTAACCATTTTCTGCATGCAAGCGTATGATTAACTGGTGAAACATTCCTGAAGATTACTTCAACGTGGATGAAGCATGCAACATTTCCATTACACATTCTGTAAATAAATCCATTTAAGCAGTCTTGAATATTTATATAAATACGTATTAAGTTAGTCACTTGATGTATGTCTGATATTTCTGCTACCAAGTGCAAGCCTTTTTCTTGTGTATTTGTAAATACCTGCCAGCAACACACTGCACCATGGGATTTACAACTGTGAGGGTAGAATGCCATCTGCTGCTATACTTGCTGCTACAGCAGGATAGAACAGAAGAATCATCATACAAATGCTGCCTTCTGATTTCTCTTAACTGCAAAATGTATACAATCACTTTATTAAGAACTGAAAATGAAAAAAAACACAACTGGGAGCTCAGAAGCATTTACACAGTTCTCACTGTAAGATCAGGTAAAGTAATGGGATACGGAGCACAGAATTCTATCAGTGCAAATGGGAGGCTGTTACATCCAGCCTATGAGAGCAAAACAAAAACAAGAGAAGAAAAAAGGAAATGTAATTAGTGTAATTTGACTGCAAACTAAATTATGCTGGTACATACTGTAAGCAAACCATTAAAAAAGGACGTCTTGAAAATGCATTTGTAATGAACTAGACTTGCTCGACTGGATTTAGAATTTACAAAGAGCCCTTAAAGGGTTTTGCACCCTGGCAAACCTTCCACTTTCCTGGGCTGGTCACTGACAATGCACAGGTCATAACCAAAAACAGAACGTGGAATCTGATATGGTAACAGTTTGATTCATGCCTGCTTACTGAGAAGAGAAAAAAATACTACCATCACCACCACCACAATCTTCTCTTGAATTCAACCTACAGCTTTACTCCGAGCCCTTTGGGTAAAAGCTAATTCTTTCTGATCTAATTGCTCTTCAATAAATCAAATGGAAACATCAGGCAGCACTTTACTCGATAACAAACCATTTAACCTTCCACACTGAATGCAATCACAGAGCTAGTCTTATGCTTATTCAAAACACATTGCTGAGCCAGATAAGTTCAGAGGCACTGAACTCAGGGGTAGCTGGCAAACGTACAACTTTTGCATTTTAACTCCTGAGAAGGGACCTCCAGGTGTGCACTGCTTTACCCACACTGAAATGCTTTCAGCCTTCCCTAATGAAGGACGTGGAGCTTAGGCAGTCAACATCCCAACAGTGTTACAGCACACTGTACTGTACTGACTGGACTTCACACAGTGAAAGCCCAATCAGTCAGAGTAGAAAATCATAAAATCTAAGTTCCCAAACCTGATGAAAACTGGACTGAAAAACAAAATAATCTGGGAATCAGACATCAGATTTACACCAAATACAGCCACCTTGCCTTTGAATTGCCATCGGCAGGAGTTCTGCTAGTGGAAATACCAGTAAAAACGTGCTTTGTACCTTCACTCAGCACTAGAGAATCGTGCCATATTTAAAAATAACAAACCAGCTTTGACAACTGAAAGGAACACATCATTTTCATGAGAAGACAATTCAGTATAGTGTAAAACTATTTTTAATTTTAAGTAAGGAACTATTCCGTGAAGCTGAAGTACAGTTCAAACCCAAAGGGATAAAGGAATTCTTGAGATTGGTACCAATCACCAAAAAGGATACAGCACTACAGCAGTAAAATCAGATCACAGTCACTGTCACAATTCTTGCTAAAGATTTGCTTGGGGCTCCCAACAGAACTCTCAGTCTTTCCCAAGATCAATTGATCTCATCTTACTGACATTCTCTTTATAACATCTATATTATGACTGTCCCCTACAGTTAAGGTGAATTAACTGCTGCTTCTTCAAAAATGCATCTTACTTTTCCCTCTTTCGTACTTAAAATGCAGAAAAGCTAAGTAATGAGAGAAATACAGTGGAAACCACGTAAATGAGTAACTGTCAAAAGAAAAAAACTATTAAAAGAATAAATCTTGTGTACCCAGCTGTGAAATATAACACAATATAGCAGAACCCAGCTAAATGTTTGAAATAAAAAATTGAAATGCAAAGTAACCTAAAATTGTTTAATGAACATAGCTGTTAAAATATTAACTCCTTGCATGCTTAAACTTAAGAGCACGATGACACCACAGCAGTAAATTACACACCTATCAACCAAGCACACGCTAAGCTCCATAGCTTATATATCTCAAGGTATGCTGCCAGGGCAATCTCCCACACAGGCCAGTTCTATTTTAATGTCACTCTTTAGAGCAGATGTTACCTTTGAGGTGTGCTGAGGCTGCTCCCCCACATACGTTTTGTGAAACTGATCCAAGAACCACAGAATTGCCAGTTCTACTTTTTCATTACTAGCCTGTGGTAACTGGGCATCCAAGAAAGGCATCAGCTGAAACACCCTTTAGTAACAACAACAACAAAAAAAGAGACATTTTCAGGATGGACTTTCAAGTTAAATGATATTACCATAGCTAATGTCTTTAGGAACCCATCAGCCATTTTTTGTTTGCCTAAGTATCTTCTAGGATTTTGTTCTGTTTAGATGCTAATTATGCTAATTGACCACTATTAAACATAAAACATCAACATAATGCTTTTCTAATTACTTTGTCACTTGAAATTTTTCTCAGATGCATATGTTGTGCTGTGGCAAATTTGTAAAATACTTTCTGTTCTTGGATCATTAATTCCTCACTGTAACAAAAGCAAATTGGAAGTGCAAGGTAAGAGTTGATCAGGTTCCCTGAAAATTGAAGCTATTGTACTCAGAAATAAATTTTTATATGTATAATATGTATATTTATATGTATAAATATAATGCACTGCCTCTTAAAACATCCGTATAGTATTTTCTGATCTAAATTCTTACATTGTACACATCTCTCTACAGGCCTGATTTCAAAGAATTAACTACAGCTTTAATCAGCTAAGAGTGATTTGTTTGGTTTTTTTCATATTACTTTATTTCATTTTCATGTTCTTCTATGATCTGTTCCTTGAAATCTCAGCTCCGTAACAATTCAACAATTCAAAAAGTTATTTTCACTCTTTCCCAATTCTGAAATATAGAGTAACTAGATCAGAAGTCAGGAGGCCACTTCATTTGTCTATATATGAAAACACTGTATTATTAATTAAAACATTGTAGGAGACTGCTAACACCATGCAGCCCCGGGGTAGATGAGGAATGCAAGATACAGGAAAAAATGCAAAGCTTTTTATCCCATTATAGACTGTATGCCCTTTTTTGTGTGTTAGCTACCTGGTGTAAATATCAGGATCAATGATGCATGCCCTTTTTCATATGCTCCTAGTGTAACATAAGTAACAATGGGTGTAAACAAGGATCAAGCATTGGTCACATCCTTTCTATTTGCCACAAAGTAGATATGTAATTTGCAATACTCCCTAGCATACTCCTTAACCTCAAAGTTTGCTTAATGGGGACTATAGCACACACATTTTAAATCTAAAGCCACCTTTTTATTCCTAGTTCTAGTCTGAAAGTCACCCAAGCTTTCAGTGGTTGACTAGCAGCTCCTCTGTACTCCTTTGCTTGCAAGACTCTCGATGAGTACGAAGGAAATAGCACAGAAAATAATAACCACAGCTCATAATTAATAAAATTAATACTTGTATACGAATATAACAACAAAAATATCCAATAGCTATCCAATCACATCTCAAGACAGAATATGGCAAGAGACATGTTTGCCTTTAGGCTTCTTCCATTCCTCTTCTTTGACATGATAGCCTTACTGATAGCAGAACTTTGACATGATAGCCTTACTGACCCCTTCACTACTCAGGATGATGACAGAGGAAAGATCATGGTCATTGGAATGGGGTCACTGGAATGGTTGCAGTCCACAGAAACTCATTCAATTTTGGAACACTCACTGTCCAAACAATGGACAAAGACTGAGACAGTCGAGTTCAAACATTTAGTGATATTAAAAGATCATAAAAACAAAAATAAAATCAAGCAATACTTACCAACAGGATAATTCTCCATCCATAGCATCATGTTCATCAGTGATGGTGTGCATTAATATTCCCCCCACAAAAATACCCACGAAGTAGACAAGCCATGCCAGACGTCCTAACATTAAATCGAAGAAAAGAACAGTTAGGGATGACAGGTCATTATGGTAGTACAATACACTTCCATAAGGCATCAGTTTTCTTAAGGTATCAGACCATAGAATGCTCTCAGAGAATGGTTAAGTTTCTCATCTTCTCAGACTTAAAACCTACCCAGAGAACTCAACCAACATTCTGAAGAGAACTGACAGATAAACTACAACAGCTTACTAAACTGGATGCATTTATATACAAAACAGCATAAACCAACTCAAAATACAAATCACATACAAACTTAAAAAACTAATTCACCCTGTTCAAGATAAGACACATAATTAATCCAGTATCTTCACAGCTACAAGATGTTTCACAGAATACAACTGTGGTGCAGCTGCCTCTACTTAACAGCATTAGGAAGCAGTTGAGACTTTCTAGTCTGCTTACTTTCTTTGCTCTATTTAAAATAATTACTTGTAATGTCCAACTAATATCTAAAGTCTTATTTTGAATGTGAAAAATCATTTGTACAACAGAAAATTTTTATTTTGTTAAGTGAAGCATATTCTTAATGAAAAGAATTTCTAAACCACTACATACTTTCAGAAGTCTCTGCTTCATACTACCACACCATTCTTTCTGATCTTGCTATTTATTTAGCATACGCCATAAAGGTGCTAAATACTGAAATCCAGCTTTCAAAGTATGGAATTCAAGTTTACAAACATCAAACCAAGAATTATTTTGGCCTCTGTTCTGCTGGACGCTCACTACCACACTGCAAAGTCTGGATTATTTTAACCTCTCTGGCAAGTTAGGGTGTCATACTTTTATAATCTTTGACCTACTTCTACCTACAGAAGCCAAGCAGATTCCTGCTTCAGCTTTTTAAGCTCTGAATCCAGTATCTAACAGTATCCTCCCTCAGCAAAGCAGTGACAAAGCTAAATCCAACTGGCAAACTGACATACAAATCTCTACAAATTTCAGGACATCAAAAGACTCCTTCCTGAACTGAAATGCAGAGACAACAGAACACTGAGGCTGCTTTTAGACTCCATCTTCATCTGGCAAAAGGTACTTTGTAATGAATTCCAACAAAATTAAAACTAACAACACAGCTAAGACAAATACATTGGAACAGTTTCCATGCAGGTTACATCAAGTTACAAATAAGGGTTGTCAGTAAGTGTGAGATTTACATTAGCTAGATTTCTTACCGCCATTACTAGGATTTTACCAAGTGATGACAGCATAACTTACAAGAGTGAATACAACACACCAATTAATAAAGTCTAAAGTCTTCAGAACATATTTTGAAGTTTAACATAAACAAAAAATTACAGATAAACAAATGAGGTCACATCACAGCTTTAAACCAACATTCTATTTTTAATATTTCTATGTACAAGTGGGGATTGCTATAAGAACAATATCTGCCAAAATCTCTGAGGTTTTGTATCAAGTCTGTTTCACGTTCTCTGATAAACTGCTCTCCATTCACACATCATATGTTACTCAATTTCCTCACATTAAGCATGGTTGTATTTTGGAAAACCCAGAAATGAGAAAGCAATGAATGCTCTGCTTCCTAAGCTCCTTCAATGAGGAACCATTAAGAGTTCTGAGATGTTCCAGCATCCTTACGATCTGACCATGGTTTATCACATAACAATTCAACATAAGTAATTGTGCTTCAGTCACAGATCTATGGTGCAGTGTATTCTACACATCTAAGTGCTGTAGGCACAAAAAAACCTCATAACATAACAAAGATGGTGATCAAATATACACTAAAAGATAATGCCAAATATGGAATAACACAGACGATTTCAAGACAAGTTTGGGTTTATCTTAAATCTCAGTTCTATTTTTTTAAAATTACCACAGAAATACATACACAACAAGATCTGGAACAAAACATTTTGAGACAAGGAACAAGTGTCAACTTTTGAGATGAGACACGTGATAAAAACTCCTAAACATCTTCATGCATTTTTGCTGTTCCATTTCCAAATAATTACTATCTGTAAGGGCAGTTGACACCACAGTTCCACAACCAACATAAAATACAACATTTCCAAGCCAAACTTCATCAAACACATCACAGATTGCAGTACAAACAGCTGTTAATTTAAGATATAGAAAGATTAACCCCATCACTAACTAAATACTGAGCAGCTGAAGTGTCTAAGAGAACAATTAGAGCTCAAATGAAATCAGCATTAACAGCTACTACAGAATAGCTCTTTGAAGATAGTATCAGAAAGCAACTATGAAGTGATGCTGGCCTCTTCAAACACCATAACAATCACTTTGGCCAATAATCTTTTTCAAAATAAAAAGCCATACTCTCTTGCAAATGGCAGCAGCTTGCGTTTAGTTACACGATGAGAGGCAATTTTCTGGTGACAGCCCTCTTCTCTCAACAACATTCAAAAGGTTTTAACTTCTTTCCCTCTTTTAGACCCTCAGTACTTAAAATGCATTTGCTTTTGCAGCTACCTAGGCAGACAACATCTTTTCTTTTAGAAAATAATTATTGCAGTAATAATCTGTAATTATGGTTTATAACAGCAATAATCCCAAAGAAATGAGTCATTACCATAGATCACGAGTAATCATTAACTACTGCTAATGACCCATTTCTTGGGGATTATTGTTTTAGTAAACCATGACCACATCACTATTGATACTGAGAGCAAGGCAGTATAATAAAATGGGATCTTAATATGGTATTAACTTATTTTGCAACATTAAAAGCCATTAAACATCTAAATTTAACTACATATATCTAGGGGATGGAGCAGCTATTGTTCTCCATGAGCACAAGTGTTCTGTTTACACAAAAGAAACACAAAATTTAAACTGCATCAAATCTTTTCTAATGCAAAAAGGCACAGTCCCCAGAGCTCTGCCACTGAAAGATTCCAACTCATTCCATCCCTTTGGTCCCCCTTATTGGGTAATGGAGTGTAAATTCAGACTGCAGCTAGTCAATGAAATCAGGTCATTCAGTGGAAGTTCTCTCACACAGAAGTTGCTGGGTGCATGGGAGAAAGTGGAATAAATAAAATCAGATAACTAAAAGGTTTTATATGCATCAATGAAAAAATAGCTCCTACATAGAAGGAAATAAAAATATTTGAATTGTCAATGGAAGAACAGCAAAATATATCATAAATATTTAAAAGCATGCAGAGAAACAGCTGTATAACACAGTAAGCTGTCTCACCTTGTCAAAACAACACCATTTATCCATCTAAAGATGCAACACACATAATTAAGAAAGAGACAGTAATTGTAAAGATAAGTTAAGTGAGATACAGAGCCCTGAAACAGGTACCCAAAAATACATTAAAAGTGCTACTTATTTTTACAACTTACACAGTAACAATTATCTTGGGTTTATTGGAAGTCTGGTAATTTATCTTAACAGAGTTGTTTAATGTAAGCTAAAGTTTTAAGAGTAAATTTAGTTTCTACAGATGGATAAATGCAAGAAGAAAAAAGTTAAGATCTTCAATTCCAGAAAATGCTCAAATAGCAGCAGGCTCCCATTAGGGCACCTGGGCACTGATAGGTTGATTTTCAGAAATTTAAGGAGTTTTTAGAGCTCTCATGCCTATACTTCAAAGATGTAACAAGATATTAAAGATATCAACCATCCATCTATTTAACATAAAGACAACCAGTGAAAATGTGGTGCAAAGTCACTTGGAACATGAATTTCTAGTTCCAGAAAAGATGGAGAGGCATCTGCCATAAGATCATTGTAAGATCATACATCTTTCACATGCAAGGATATTTATACTGGCACATAAAACAATCTAAACATTAAAGTAAATACTAACCTTCCTGGACTGTGATTTCTAATTGATTCCTACTAGAGGAGCAAAATAGTTTTTGGTAGTTCTGTGCATTTTGGTCAAACAACTGTCCAAGAAGTGTACAGGTCTTTTCACATCCACACCTGCTAACTGTGTAGTTGCTCCAGTTGTTGGAAAACTGTAGCTGTACCATCCAGTGGATCTTCCAGGCCATCTCTAGAATAGAAATAAAAAGTAACCACTTAACCACATTGCCTGAAAGCTCCTTCTTTGCTTTCCCATCCGGATCTTGCCCAACTGTCACTGAAATGCTGAGCTGTATATAACAGCAATAGCACCTGACAGATGTAAGCTCTCATTTTAAATACACACATACCCCTCCCACCCATCAGAACAATATTCTATTTGTGCTATCCTCTTAATGTATAGCTTAGAATGCAAAGAACTACAAGGCAGATAAGAGATGAGATTGGCAGTACTAACGCAAAGGTAAATCCTGAAAATCTGAGGTCCTTTCTGCCTATGCCTGAATACTAACAAGCAGCATATTTCTCAAAGGATGATTGTGGAAAAGAATGGAATACACAGAGGAAGTGGATTTTGCACATTCATCAAATTAAGTACAAGACCATGATAGCAAAGCCAAGAAGTTTCAGTAAAATTCCATGCAGTTGCTTTATAAATGCTTATTATGGGTTCTCCTACAAGAAATACCTGTAACGAAAAGAACAATGGCTCTTCCTGTGAAGTATAACTGTACTTATTACACAAATCACAATAGGAAAAGTTTATTATCAGCAAGTTAATCTGCTGCTGCACAGGCAATGAACAATCTGTAGAGTCTTCAGAAATGTTCCACTGGGTACAGACAAAGCATATTTTTATGTAAGGGAATGAAAGCACGACTGCAAGGTGAACACAGAGCTCAGGAGTCAATCAGACAAGCAGGCTGTGAAAATAAGAGTCTATACTGAACTTTAAAACCCAAAAGAAACAACAAAGAAAGCTGAAATCTTGGTGCTTGGGCTCTACTTTAAATAGAAAGGCTACCAAATCAGTGAGCTCACTGACCTTGGAACACTTCAGTAGGAAATTACTTCTTTCCAGATAAAATACATCTCCTTGGTATTAAAAGGTTTACTCATAGTATGGATGGAGGAGTCTTCTCTTTGGCTTAGAGCCCACATGGCTTATGCAGACTGGTTTCCTCTGCATGTGGACATATTAATGTGCCCAGTGCTAACACCTGAATTTTGAAAGATACAAAACAGCTGGTGATCCTTCTCTGAACATAGGGCCAGCTGGGATGGCTCCTCAATGAAGGGTGATATTATCACCTATACTGGCTTGTAAGGAAAATTATCACTCCAGAAAGCAATACTTACTGGCAAAGATAGCAATTAATGTCCTTGGAGCAAACAGAATTCTTGAGAGATCAGTTCCCAGGTATCCCGCATTTCTCAAGAACTGTCTAGACATTTACCATCACAGACTACGTTTGATACAGCTGTCTATTGGAATGCCATAACAAAGGATCTTCATCGCAGAAGAAAGTATGACAAAGTCAGAAAGATCCACCAGTTAGAGCTGCAGGAGCTTACATGTTCATAGCAATGTCAGGACTGACTTAAGAACAATACAGAGTGCATAAAAGCAGAACAGAAAATATGAATGTCAAGGAAGTTTAACCTGCCTGAGACATGGCACAAGAAAACTAACTGCGTAGACACCAAGCTGCTGCTTCTTCCTGTTTCTAGCTTTGGAGTGCTGGAAGCACACAACTTGGAGCCATTAGGAACCTTTAACGTACCTCACACAAGTAATACCAACAGCAGCTTAGCCACTAAAAAATGAGATGAAAAGAGATGCACGCATCAGATTTTGGCTAAGTTGAGACAAATGGATAACAATGGTGAAGCTGAATGCACTTCCTCACACAAGCAGACAATATATCTCAGCAAAAGAAAACTAAGAAAGAAAAGCAGATGTGGCTTACTCTGAAGTCTTGCAGCCTGACGCAGTATCTCATTAACAGGTATCCATGAAAGCCCTCAGAAAAAACTAAATCCTTTCAGTAATCTGAACGTATTTTTTTCTTTATTCACTGTATTACAGTGTGGACTATAAGGCATGCTTAAACTATTAAAAAAAAAAAGATTTGAGCTAAGAAATTGTTAGCCAGCCCATTTTAACCTAGGCACTCCAGCTCATACTGTGCTATCCTAGGCTTTCTAATGCATGGAGTTTGCTGCTTCCCCCATCACTCTAAAACCCACGGCACTACAACGTGGCTAATCAAGCAGCATATATAAATTGATCACTGCTGAAAAGGTAATTTACAAGGGCTGCTCCAAAAGTAATGCCTAATGTTTTATTACCGTGGCTCACAATGTCAAAAGTGGATGGTGGTGGGATGGCAGAAAAGGATAAACCTTCCCATCAACACTCCACATTTTTTTGTTGGTCTGTGACAGATGGCAGCGGCAGAAGGGCAGTCTGACAAAATGGTATCTGTTCTGGAAGTTCCTATGAAGCAAAGGTGTGGGACTTATTTCCTCCATGTGCAAAAAATGGCACCACTGACATTCAGCAATGCTTGTTGAACATTTTCAGAGACCAAACAGTGGATATAGCACAGTGAGGAGGTGTGCTTCAGCACTGGTGACAGCTATGTGAAAGACAAACCATGCTCTGGCTGGCCATGCACAGCTGTCACATCACAAAATGAAGAACATGTAAACCAGCTCATCCTCACAAATCGGCCAACTGCAACCAAGGAGCTCTGTAGGGAGCTGAACATCAGCTTCAATGCACTGGAAGTAATGTTGGCAATACTGGAATATTGTGAAGTTTGCACCAGGAGGGTCCCACAAACACCTACACACGAACAGAAAGACAACCACACGTAAGTTTGTCCTGAACTATTGAAAGTCTGAGGCTGGAAGTGACAGTTTCTTGGATCACACATCATTACTGGTGATGAGATGTGGTGTCACTATCAGTTGGTGCCAAAACATGGATTTCCCATTCAAGAAAAAGTTCAAAATACAGCCCTCAGCAGGTATAGAGATGTGCATGGTCTTTGGGATAGGAAATGGGTGATCCGTCTGAACTTGCCGGAAACTGGGCAAACCATCAATTCTGACTGATGCAGTGTGACACAGGCTAAGAGGAAGGCTAAACTTCCAGACTCATGCAGAAGATCATGGCCTTTCCCCTGCAACATTATAATACCAAGCCCCATACCAGTTTGAAGACCACGCAACCCACTGCCAGTCATGGCTGGGAAGTCCTACCACACTCACTGTACAGTCCAGATTTGGTGCCTTCCAACTTGCATCCATTAGGGCTGATGAAAGATGGACTGTGTAGGCAATATTTTTCAAGCAACACCACCATCAGAGCAGCTGTAAAACAGTGGGACACCTCCACCAGTGCAGATCTTTACAAGCAGAGCATGCAGTTCTTGTTCACTGCAGGCAAAAATGCAGAGTTAAGGGTGAGTATTAGGTTCGAAAACGGTGTTTACTAACTGAGAATTTTCTCTATCAAATAGTGCTAATGTGCTCATCAGCTCTCTGTTGCAGATTCCATGGAAATAAACAGGAGGCATTATTTTTGGAGCAAGGCGTGTAGAAGGAAAAGAGGCTTTTTTAAGAACACAAGGGACTGCAAGAGGAAAAAGAGCTAGAACCAACATTTGATTTTGACCTGGATTTAATAAGCAGAGTAAATGATATCAACCAAGTAAGATATTGCTCTGGTAATCAGAATCAGAGTTTTAAATACCCAAAATGTGATACACTGATACAACTGAAAATTAAACATTCGATGTTACAGTTCCAAAAGTTGCAACTACAAGTTTACCTTACTACTACAGGAACACGCTCCAGTCTGGAAGTAACATAAGCTTCTGTTATCTCAGCTGCATACCTATCTAAGAGGTGGGGCTCTGCTGTTTTCACAAAAGTTACAGATGCCACCATTCTTTGCCACAGAGTTAGCAAGTAATGAATGCTATTTGGTGCTGAGTCCCAGTGCTATAAGAAAACAAAACATACTTCTGTTAAAGCACCCCAGCATGAAATTTTAGTTGTGAAATACAATGCTTTTATTTTGAACAGTTTTATTCACTCACCTAAATACTGACGGACCCTGTCAGAATTGAGATGTTATGGAACACACCATAGACCACACTCACAGTGACTGCAGTGTGCTACCCACAGACACTATGGCCTACAGGAGCAGCTTTCTACTCCTGGGTGTAATCTTCCACTGCTATAATGAAGACCAGAGAAAGTTTCCAAAGGAAACAGTAAAATAACAATCACAGTATTACTTGAACAGTGGACACACCCAAAAAATCTCTAAGATTTTTAAGAAGTGTGAGAATCTTGATCCTGTCTTTCAGGATCAGGTCTTTCCTCCATGTCTTTCTCAGGTATGCAGGGACCTCTCACAAAGTTAGACACTACTTCGCCCAGTTTCTGAATCCAACTTAGCAGCTTAGCATATAGGCAACTGTATGTATACACGTACACATTTATGCACAAAGATGTACAAAACATTTAGAGACACAAAGATGCAAAAGCAGAATCTAGTCAGTGTAGGCCCTAAGTTCAAAAGAGAGCACAAGTTGAAGCATTTTAGACCTGGACAGAGGCTCTAGCTTGCCTTTTTTTTTTTTTTAGGGTAAGACTAGAGCTGGAGGATTAATGGCTAGGTCCTATTTCAGTCATTTATTTCTCCTTTAAACCTAATCCCATTACAGAACTCCGTAGGAATAATGGGAACCAGCTGTAGCAATATCACTAACAGTATATTTCTATGTGACTCCAGAAGTTGCATCACTAATAATACATTTCTATGTCAAGTCTCACCACATCCTCAAAAAACACCTACATCAACAAAGCAAATCAGGATCGACTTCTTGGTCTTTCAAGAGTAGAATAGAACAGAAAACTTCAGTATACATTCCTACCCGTAGGCCAGTAATAGTAGAATTTGCTATAGGCTGGATAACTTCTGGGTAATCTGTCACTAACTCTCCTAGTTGATAGGATTCGCTGATTTGTCATCAGCTGAGCCAAGAACCGACAGAATCCACGGTAATCATCAGGATCAGATAAACCCAAAATTCAAAGAAGCAAATTTTTAAAAGTTAACAGTTTAATCTAGTAGAAATTTTATGAGCACTGCAGCTGATCAGGTGACAATTTCATTTGCACAGCATTTCCGCTTTATTTTAAATAGTAAATCAAAGCAAACAGATGGCAGGCTGAAAGTGGTTTTGATAGATACAGTAAATTAATGACAAATGTGACAGGCAAAAACAAGCCCACAGCTGCTTCAGCATTTCAAATAAACAGAATCACAAATAGACAGACAGATACCCGTGGATTTTCAAGTATTTGTTTCGCTCCTTTGATTAGAGTACCAAAATACCTGGCATGTTCTGGATTGCTGAATAAAGATCTCCTTGTAGAAGCAAATTGAACTAAGCAGGAAAGCACCTAAAGAACAAAATAAATGTAAGAATAAGTATATATATATATTTTTTTTTCAGAATAATATTATCTTACTCCTTGAATCAAACAAATCTACTGCATCTGTAGCACATTCAGTACCTGAAGATTATTCTTTCAGCAACATCCAGAAGATCACTGTAGACAATTATGGCTCAGTTTTCAAAATTTCTTTTACAATAGGTTACAACTTCATCAAAATAATTAGGTGGATGCTTTCTACATGGCAGAGTCATGCTGAAATTCAGGAGTTTTGAACGCTTTCAAATTTAAAAATGAAAACTAAGGCCAAAGTTCAAAGAAGACGTTGTGACTGGGCACTGAATCAGTACCTGTGGGACTCATAAT